GATCCTCCTCCTCATCCTCCTCATCATACTCGCCCTTCTGCTCCTCCTCTTCCTCTCCGCCTCGTCCTCCTCCACGTCCTCCTCCTCACCCTCCACCTCATCCTCCGCATCCTCATCGTCCGCATCCTCATCAGATTCCTCCTCCTCTTCCTCATCCTGTTCCTCATCCTCCTACTTGTCTGTCTCTTCCTCCTTCTCCTCCTCCGCCGACTCATCCTCCTCGTCATCATCATCATCGTCGTCAGCATCATCATCAGCATCGTCATTATCATCATCCTCATCTGCCTCCTCCTCATCATCATGAGCGTCGACCTCATGTTTCTCCTCGTCATCCTCATCCTCATCCTTGTCCTCCTCATCCTTCTCATTGTCCTCTTCCTCTGCCTCCTGCTATTCGCCCGTCTGCTCCTCCGTGCCACCAGCAGCATATGCAGTATGTTCCTCCTCATCTCCTCCTCATACTTCTCTTCTGCATCTTCCTCCCCCTCGTGTTCGCAAGTGTCGTGATCGTTCGAATCATCCTTATCATCCTCATCATCCTCATCATCATCATCATCAGCATCATCATCGTCATCATCCTCATCATCATCATCATCATCATCATCATCATCATCATCCTCATCCTCCCTCTCCTCCTGATCAGCATCGTCAGCATCAGCAGCATCAGCATCGATATGGCGTGCGAGCCGTTCCTTATGGCACTTACGCGCAATAGGTTCGACCATTAAGCTCTATGCAGTCTCTCCGGCATACAATATCACTAGCTGGCTTGCTTTCCGAATCACACTCTGACCCCGCCGCCACGAACAGTCCTCCCCGTCCTGTCGTTCTCTCTCTCTCTCTCTGTATCACTCTCTCGCGTTCTATCACTCTCTCTCTCTCTCTCTCTCTCTGTATCTACGCATGAACACATACATACATACAAACAGGCAGATAGACAGACAGACATGCAGGCATGTATGAATGCATGCGTACACGCGGGCATGGCATGCATACCTACATACATACCTGTAAACATACATGAGTACATACGTGCGTACATGCTTATGTACATACATGCACGCATGCATACATGCATACATGCATACATGCATACATGCATACATGCGTACATGCACGTGTACATACGTGAATAAGTACATGCATAGATTCAAGCATACACAAACAAATGCATGCATACATGAACGCATACCTGCATACATACATACATGCATACATGAATACATGCATACATGCATGCAAGCATACATACATACATACATACATACCTAAATGCATGCATGTGTACGCCTATACATACGTGCATGCATATATGCATGCATGCATATGTGCATGCATGCAAACATACATTCAAGCATGCGCACATAAATGCACGCGTGCGTATATACATAAATACATGCATACATACATGCATGCATGCATGCATTCATGCATACATACATACATAAATGCATCTGTGCATACATGCGTACAAACATACCTACGTACATACATACATACATACATACATACATACATACATACATACATACATATATACATACATACATACGTACGTACATACGTACATACGTACATACGTACATACGTACATACGTACATACGTACATACGTACATACGTACATACGTACATACGTACATACATACATACATACATACATACATACATACATACATACATACAGGCAAACATACATACATGCACACACACATGCACACAGACCTACCTACCTACCTACCTACCTACCTACCTACCTACCTATCTGCCTACCTCCCTACCTCGCCACATACACACATACATGGATACACGCAAACACACATATTTGTGTGTACACTCATGAGAGGCACTAGGGGCAAGTATGAGCAAGCTGGAGGAAACAACAAAAAAACGGTTCAGATAGCGATTGACGTGTATAACCCCCTCCCCACCGGACCCTCAGCGGGAACGACAGCGCGAACAGGAATTTGGGCCAACAAAATTGCTGTCAACGTCAACCTCCCCGTCCACGTGCCCGCTCCGACGGTGGCCCCACCTCGCACGATGAACCCATTCCTACCGCGTGAAGCCTGCCTCGGAAGCCCCAGCGAGGGCCCAGTGACCACGCAATCTTGTGAGCCACAGCTGACTCGAGGCGAGCGGGTGGTTATGGGATCTCGGCCGCTCTCCCAGGATGCCTCAAGCGCCTGGGGCCTTGATGGGCCACAGAGAAGCAGACGGTGACGGACCCTTGTTTACAGACCGTCTGGTGAGGAGCTTGGCAGTCTGATGCCATCGGACCACTTGGCTCGTTCCAGGAACCCTGAATCCAAAAAGAGTGTGCATCACCTGGAAAGGCTCAGTTTCCTTCCACCAGCTTCCACAGGCCTTCCGCCCTCGCCGTCGCTTGACTTCTGCTGGCGTCCACCGGCCTTCCGCCGGCTTCCACCGAAGGTCGGGAACCCCTGGCAGCTGGTCTGGAATCCCACAGCTTCCTCTGGGTGCTGAGCCGTTCGCCAAATGTTGGATCCGCGAACCGCCCCAGCACAGGGTGCTGCTCCAACACCCCTCACGGAAAACTGAGCGTACGTATTCCCCTGGGGGTATCCACGCCAGGGGGCCCGATGATCCACACCACAGGTCCAGCAGGTCCACAGACAGACCCAAAGCTCGTCGCCTTGTCTCAGCGGGCCGCTGTGACACTCATCCGCCTGGTCAACGGGCGCCCTGTTATGCGAATTCATACTCGGGAGGCGGCGGCACAATGAACTCTAGATGTTCTGAAGTTCGCACCGACTGAACCAGACCCAGCACGAAATCTAGAGGCCTTTAACACAACTCAGGTTACGAGTGGCCGCCGCTGGTATGGTGGACCACATCCTGAAGAACTCCAAGACCCTAGAAGAGGTTTTCCGAAAAAACACAGATGAGCGTGCAGCCCCTGCCCTGTGCAAGCCAGCCGTGCGGGCGTCACGACCACACCCGCATGATCAGATTCCGCCCGAAGCCAATACGCGCAGAATTCCTGAGTCCACCCAACTCACCCCACCCCCACACACTTCCTACCTGCAGTGTTTTTCGGTGGGACCAAGCGGCTCGCATTCTCGTGCGGAACCGTTCCCGTTCACAAGGCGCCGAGTGTTATATTCACTGCGCACACACACACACACCGAGGAGGCTTCTGCAGCCTCCAGCCCATCTGATTCGAGCGCCGCCCAGGCGGGCAGCAGCTCAACGTAGCTTGCAGCCAAATGGAATAACTGGCAAACGAAGCGGAGCAGACAGTACTCTGCCAAAGCAGGATGTCCTTCACGCAGGCGAAGCACAATGGTGTGATAATGACATAGCAAGGCTGTTAAATGCTCTTACACAGTAGAAGCCCATGCGCACCACGGATAATAAAAGGCAGCACCCCTGGCGCCATACCGCCGTTCAGAACCAAGGATGCAAGTTCAAATAACAAGCAACGACGAAAACGATCGGCACATCGAGGTACCAAATCAAAGAAAATGTACACGATTGGCCGAATCGCAAGCAAACGAAAGCTCCAGCGAGGTAGCTGGATCGAAAAGTCCGGGAGCCGAAGCCATCCGAAGACTGTAAGAGGCTGGGTACGCCAACACAGGAAGGAGCACAACACAGCCAGACCTAGCTTACGCACACGAAAAAGTCCATGCCAAGGACAGGCCAGCCCCCAACCGAGGGCGGCATCGAAACGCCAAGGTGGACACGAAGGTCGACAGTGGCAGGTCGAGTTGTGCGTACGACCACGGCTCTAGAAGCACCCGGCCGCAACTCCAACAACACACGAACACGCGAGCGGGCGGGCTCACAAACACACACACACACACACCAACGCACGCACGCACGCACGCACGCACGCACACACGCACACGCACACACGCACACGTACACGCATACACACACACACACAGACACACACACACACACACACAAACACACACGCGCGCACACACACAGACACACACACACACACACTCGCGCGCGCGCACTACGCACGCATGCACGCACGCACGCACGCACGCACGCACGCACGCACGCACGCACGCACGCACGCACGCACGCACGCACCCCCCCACACACACACACACACACACACACACACACACACACACACACACACACACACACACACACACACACACACACACTTTTTGCGTCGGCGGCTAGGCAGGACAACTGCGCTGGCGGAGGGCTACCTAAACAAGGGTACCGTTGTAGCGACTTGGGCCACCATGCAGGAGGGGAAAACCAGAGGAAGCAGCCGAAAGAGGGGGCGGAAAAAGCGAGCCGCTCAGGGGGACGGGTCACGCCCCGAGCGTCGCGACCGGCCCCGCCGGCGGGCCCGCGGCGATCTCTGCACCAAGGGGCTGGCAGCAGCAGGGCGCAGTGCAGGGGCAGGTACCACCCTAGACGGGCAAGGGTGCAAAACGATCAAGGGCAAAGCCTGGTGGCCCCCCTTCCCCAGGGCGGGAGCGGGCGTGGTTGCCAGCAAAAAGCTGGGGCGCCGGCGGCGGGCGGCAGGACCAAGCCCGGGGGGCCGGCGCGGCGGCTGCGGACAGCTGGGCAGCGCCATGGCGGCGCGTGGAGGGGCACGCACACACACACACACACACACACACACACACACACACACACGCACACATACATGTTGTACGTCGGGGGCGCGGCAGAGGCAATCCGCGCGTCGGGGCGAGACCGGGACACGGAGTCACGAATTAGCCCGCATGCAAGAGGGGAGGGAGGGAGCGAGAAGGCGGCCGCGGAGAGGGACCCGAGCGGGCACACACACACACACACAGGCGCGCGCGCAGATCAACAAAAACGTCCCAAACAACGAAGCACATCTGACAACGAGCCCATCTGACTTTGTGTGTCGGCACCAATTGACTCGCGTAAAAATACAACATGCAAGATCGAAGGCGGGGCCTCGGTGATTGATGGTATACTGCGACAGTGGTCTACGTAGTAAGGCCGCCCGTTGCCGTCAACACGTAGTTCCTGACAATAGAAGCGCACAAATACTGATGTTGAAAATCACTCGACGCGCATGGAGGCATGCCATCCAACAACAATCACAACTCTAGAGGATGGAATTGGTCCTGTGCAGACCGCCACGCACGAACGAAATTCGCACGCGCCCGCGCGCGCACATACTACATCGGTTGACGACCACTCGTGCAAATTGGCCATCTACTTTGGCACCCCAGGACGTCCAAAGAGGGACCCAAGTCAGCCCAAGAGGGTTTCAAGAAGGCCAAAGATGCCTCCAAGACGGCCCAACAGAGCCCAAACGCGGCAAACCATGTAGCCGCCCACCCCTGTTAGGCCTCCAAGCGGCCACCAAGAATACCCGGAACGCCCACACTTCACGATATCCAGACGTGCGCCCCGCGAAGACAGAGGGATACATATATATATATATATATATATATATATATACACTCTTAGACGGGAAAGTCTGTGCTGACGCGTATCGTGGCATTCGACGCGTTTTCACGATGGTGCTGTGAGTGAAACGACTGAGAACATGCTTGGCGAACGACACGCAACAGCCCAAAAGAACGCTACCGAACTGCACACGAATCGAATGAATCGCTCCGAATCTGATACACGAGCTTAACACGTACAACATCTGCTTACAAATAGAACGTGCCAACCCGGTACAATAGCAGCGTTCATCAGTACACTCAAACCACGTAATAGACATATCCGTTGGTGAACCTGCACACGCTCGCGAAGGGGAGAGATCCCAAGCCACAATCTGGTGACCCAAACAACGCAGCTAGTATGTTCGACATTGTTGCACGTAGGAGCTCTGTGACCGACTGTTCTAGCTGAAGGTTATAAATTCATTTCCGACCACCACAACCACTGTTCTAGCTGAATGATATAAAACCTGCATCCGCCTTCCCACCCCCCCTCCTCCTCCTCCTCCTCCTCCTCCTCCTCCTCCTCCTCCTCCTCCTCCTCCTCCTCCTCTTCCTCCACCTGCTCATTCCTACTCTACTCAAACCCGTACGCACTCCAATACTACTCTTACCCAGACCCGCGCTCGCACTCTCGTGCATGGCGCGATTCCTCACGAGAACACACTCCCGCTGCACCACCTGGCGCCTGCCTGGCCGATAGCCCCCCACCTCATCCGGAACGTGCCGCCCTACCCATCAGCAACACATGCAAAGCCGACGCGCTGCCCTCCCAACATGGACGCGTTGCCCTCGACGCTGCTCAGTGTGTGACAGGAAGGCGATCCGGCGCACATCGCGGGGGCGCCGCTCTCGCCTCGGCGCCGCTCCCATTCCTTCCACGCCGGACGTCCCGCTCGGTGCGCGGCGCCCTCCGAGCCGTCGGCGGCGGGATCGCGCGCGAGCGAAGACGCGTGGCTCGGGCCCCAGCACCACGCGGAGGTCGCCTGACAGGATCGCTCCCGCGTGGGCGCGCGGCGCAGTGCAGAACGCGGGAGAAGGGGGTCGCGCGGAGAAGGGGGGGACGCGCGGGAGACGGGCTCGCCCAGCCGCTCGGAGGAGGGGGGGGTCGCGCGCCAGCGGGCCGCTTGCGGCCCTCGCCCGAGCCCCGTGCAGGCTTCACGGGAAGGAGGCGGTCCTTCTCGGGCGCGGCCCATACTTTCTCGCTCGGCGGGCTGGCGGGAGGCAGTGGGCTGCGCGCGAGCGGGCGAGACGTCGCTCTCGCCCGTGCGCGGCGCAAACTTCGGGTGAGAGTGGCACTGCTGCCTCGGCGCGGCACGTCACGTGGCTTCGTTGGAAATTCGGCCACGCGCGAGGAGGCCGCGTGGTGCTCTGGTCGAGACGCCGCGGAAGCACGTTCTGAGAGTTCTGGTGTGGCCTGTGCGCGGCCCGTGTTGTCCCCCCTTGCCAGAGCGTCGGAGGCGGGACCACGCGCGAGCGCCTTCCGCTCGTGGTGTGGGAGCGCGCGCCAGTCCTGATTTTGTAATAGATGTGGCAGACGCTCCTCTCCTTGCTACACTTCTTGCTGCTGCTCCCCGTGCTGGTACTGTGACTGTTACCGTTCATCGTTACTTGTGACGTCCGTGCCATTCCTACGAGGACCCTTCAGCTACTGGCACTCGTGATGCTGCTGACACAAACACTCGTGTTCGGACTCGTGCTCTGATCCGCGTTCGGACTCGCACTCATACCACCGCAGCTGCTATCGCGCTCACTCTTGCACTCACTCTTTCCTTACTCTTACTGAGGAAAATTTGGAATACCATTACGTATCATTACCCATATCATTGTATTGGCATCACCGTTACCGTTACTGGCGCTGCTACTCTCCCTGCTGCTGGGACTCTTGGGGCCACTGTTTCTGGCCGTGCTCTTGTTGTGGCCTGGCTCTTTGTGTCACTGCTGCTCTTACCTGCGGCCGCCCTCTCACTCGTGCTCGCAGCGGGGGGCCTTTATCCGGACTCGCCACACCGCGCAGGAGCAGGGAGCAGTCGCCTGTAAACTCGGAAAAATCAAACGGCCGCCCGCTCGCCGCTCGTTGAGCGGCTCGCGCGCACGGGGCGGCGACGCGGGGAGGAGGGGGGGAGAGGCAGGAGAGAGGAGGGGGGAGGATGGAAGAGGGAGGAGGGAGGAGGGAGGGAGGGAGGGAGGAGGGGGAGAGGAGGGAGGAGGGAGGAGGGAGGAGAGGGGGGGGAGGAGGAGAGAGGGAGACCGAGGGAAGGGGGGCTCTGGCCGCGCGAGCCGCGCGGCCGCGCGGCGCCCGAAAACGGTGGGGGGGGCTGCAGAGGGGCCCCGAGGTGCCCACCGCCAGTGCGGCGAGCTCTCCGGATGGGGCTCGATGCGTACCCCGCGTCGTCTCAGCCAGGGGGCTCGGCCGTGGGGGCGGGCCTCCTCCTCCTCCTCCTCCTCCTCCTCCCTCCCTCCTCCTCCTCCTCCTCCTCCTCTCCTCTCCTCATCCTCCTCCTCCTCCTCCTCCTCCCTCCTCCTCCTCATCCTCCTCCTCCTCGGGTGAGCCCTGTCCATTCCTCTAGGATAAGCCCTTTCCATTTCTCTGGGAGGGCCCTTCTCCAATCTTCTGTGCACTTCAGCTTTGGCTTCGGCGTCAGCTACCGATGCACCACGAAGCGCCTTCGGGCCAGCTCACCCGAGTCGGATTTTCCGCTCGCACGGGTGCTCCCCAACCCACACCTCCTCCTCCTCCTCCTCCGCCTCCTCCTTCTCCTCCTGCTCCTCCTCCTCCTCCTCCACCTCCTCCTTACTCCTCCTCCTCCTCCTCGTCCTCATCCTCCTCAACATCCATCCTCCTCCTCCTCCTCCTCCTCCTCCTCCTCCTCCCCTCCTCCGCCCTCCTCCTCCTCTCCTCCTCCTCCTCCTCACTCCTCCTCCTCCTCCTCCACTCATCCTCATCTCATCCTCATCCTCTCCTCATCATCATCTCATCATCATCATCATCATCATCATCATCATCATCATCATCATCATCATCATCCTCTCATCATCATCATCATCATCATCATCATCAGCATCATCATCATCATCATCATCATCATCATCATCATCATCATCATCATCATCATCCTCATCATCCTCATCATCATCATCAGCACCAACGGCATCATAAGCATCATCAGCAGCATTATCATCATCATCATCATCATCATCATCATCATCATCATCACCATCGCCATCACCATCACCATCAGCATCAACATCATCATGAGCAGCATCATCATCAGCATCAGCATCATCATCATCACCACCACCACCACCATAATCATCATCAGCAGCAGCAGCATTACCATCGTCATCACCATCAGCATCAGCAGCATCATCATCAGCATCATCATCACCGAATCATCGCCATCATCGGCAGCATCAGCATCATCAGCATCAACAGCATCATCATCATCATCATCATCATCATCATCATCATCATCATCATCTCATCATCATCATCATCATCATCATCATCATCATCATCAGCATCGTCATCATCATCATCGTCATCATCCTCATCATCATCGTCATCATCATCAGCGTCATCGTCATCATCATCATCATCATCAGCAGCATCATCAGCATCATCATGATCATCAGCATATGCATCACCATCATCATCAGCAGCAACATCATCATCATCAACAGCATCATCATCAGCAGCAGCAGCAGTATCATCATCATCATCATCAGCAGCAGCATCATCATCATCATCAGCATCATCATCATCAGCAGCAGCATCACCATCCCCTCATCCCCTCATCCCCTCATCCCCAACCCCTTCACGCCCCCTCCCCCTCCCCTCCTACTCCTACTCCCCATCCCCATCCCCATCCCCATCCCCATCCTATCTCCATCCCCATTCCCATCTCCATCCCCAGCCCCATACCCATCCCCTGTCCCCATCCCCTCTCCCCATCCCCTCTCCTCATCCCCTCTCCACACCACCTGTCTCCATCCCCTCCCCCTATCCCCTCCCTCCCCTATCCCCATCCCCTCCCATCCCTCCCCTCCCCATCCCCACCGCCCCTCTCTTCCCTCCTCCCCTCCTCCCTCTCTCCCTCCTCCTCCTCCTCCTCCTCCTCCTCCTCCTCCTCCGCCGCGCCGCCGCCGCTGCCGCCGCCGCCTCCGCATCCGACTCATCCTCCGCCTCAGCCTCCGCCTCGCCTTCGCCTCCGCCTGTATCCTCCTCCTACTCCTCCTCCTCCTCCTCTCCTCCTCCTCCTCCTCATCCTCCTCCTCTTCCCTCTCCTTCCTCTCCTCCTCCTCCTCCTCTCCTCCTCTCCTCCTCCTCCTCCTCCTCCTCCTCCTACTCCGCCTCTCCTCCTCTCCTCCTCTCCTCCTCCTCCTCCTCCTCCTCCTTCCTCCTCTTCCTCCTCCTCCTCCTACTCCTATCCTTATTCCTTATTAGAATATACTCCTACTCCCCCCTCAGGCCGGCAGATAGGGGCGCATCCGGGTGGTCCCATCCTAACCTGTAAAAAAACAATACAAAATCAACATTTTTCTTATTTTTTCCTCTCGACATGGACGTCC